TAACCCCGATGATGTCATTGGCCGTGACAACCAATCAACCTCTGAGCCTGCCTATTTAAAACCCGCCACCATTCATTTAGGAAGATTTTGTTCTCGCTGTTAAAACTAGAACCCTGTTCCTCTGTTCTTTTTTTTCCCCTTCCCTGTATTGTAGTTACGCTGCCTTATTGTGTTTGTTGTTCTTGTATGTCATTTGGTCCGTGTTTTCCCCGCTGTGCTCTAGTCACTTTACTGTTTAGTCATCTGTCTGTTAACCGTAGTGTTTGTTACCCCTGGTTTGTGACTTTGTTAGTGTTGGGGAAAAGTGGACAGGTAAGTACGTCACGTGACATACATTGTACAGCACGTAGGAATTCCGGTTTTGTTTGTATTGGACACATTAGGTTAGGAGCGAGCACCACCTTCTGTACTTTTGGTTTTGGAAAGATAGAGTAGGTTAGTTAGCGCGTCCTGGACGCTGAAGACTTTTTTTTCTATCTGTTGTTATAGTTAGGTTAGAGGGTTAGAAAATAGACTTGTTTTGTTCTTTGCTTTGCTTTGGTGCCGCTCGCGTCCCTTTTCCCCTTTTGAGTCTTGTTACGTGTTTCTGTAAATACATTGTAAATACCACCGCTGTCACTTGGCACACACGCTTTTTTTTTTCCACCTGTATATAGATAAATAAACCACTTGGGTACGCACTACTTGTCTATGGTCCCTGGCTACACACACACCAGTTGTTGTTGTTGTTGTTGTTGTTGTTGTTGTTAATAATCACATAAGTGTAATTCCCCACACACCCCCTAGACTAATTGGGGTTGTAACACATAGTTTTATGCCTTATGCCCTTCCTGATGCAACCCTCCCCAATTTTATTCGAGCTTGGGACTGGCACTGAGAGCACGCTGTTGCATGCAGCCCCAGTGGTTGGGGTCGGTTCCCTGGCAGCAATGGTGAGAGCACTGTGGCCTAACCACTAGTCCTCCTGGGACCCCATTTTTTTGTGCATATGTGAACACAACAGATGAACTCAGACCACTCTGAAGTGACAACCAAATGTTCGTTTGTGGTTCATTTTGTGGTCTAATTCATTTGCAGTTTGTGAAAACAAACTGGTCTCAGTCTGCTTCATGTTTTGCTTTAATGATAAAGGACTTGATTGTACATGCTGTACACAAGCTCCAGTTTTCTGACACCTAGTTAGGCAGCGGTAATAATAGTATTGTGTCAGTGACAGGAACAATAGTGTTGTTATATATAATGTGTGTGTGTGTATATATATATATATATATATATATATATATATATATATATATATATATATATATATATATATATATATATATATATATATATGTATGTATGTATGTATGTATGTATGTATGTGTATATATATATATATGTATGTATATGTATGTATATGTATGTATATGTGTGTATATATGTGTGTGTGTGTGTGTGTAATATACTGTATGTGTTGTATGCATGAGTTTTTTTCTACACTAACAACTCAACAAACCATCAGTAGCTTTATGGCATCAAGCATGTTGGTTTTGATGATTCAGCATGATTTGCTTCTTCCCCCCACCATCCCAATGCTTCTGGTATTTCACTTCAAATCTGTTTTGCTTGCTCTGATAAATAAAAATAAACGAAGACTAGTTGTTCAATTAGGCTAAATCATGAAACTAATGGCACCCTATAAAAGGTGGACAAGTCACTCTCTGTTTTTGTGGTAGCTGATGTGCTGCCATGGCTGAACTGCAATACTACAATGTTAAGCTAAAACATAGGAGACTTAGTTTACACTGTACTTTACACTGTTTACTCATTGTTTTGACATTTCAGCTTTGTCTTTTAAAGGTTGTGGGTGTCAATAACTGTGGCAATTTACATACTATTGGCATTTAGCAACATAAACACCTGAGTACCGTGTGTGTGATCGATAGATAGATATATATGTATGTATGTATGTATGTATGTGTGTGTGTGTGCATGAATGTGTACTGTACACAGTATGTATGAATAGCAGCTGAACTATTTATTTATTTATTTATTTATTTACTTACTTACTTACTTACTTACTTACTTATTTTCGTTGAATTTATTCATTGGATAACCACTGTGGTGGAACACCAGGCCCAAGTTTGAGTGGTGGATTTCGCCTGGCCTTGATCTCCCATGTGTGATATGTTTCCATGTCCCTTTTAGCCTGTGATTACTTTGTGATGCTTATGCAGATATGATTTCAGTTTAACAGTTCCTTTTTAAAACTGTCACTTTCCAGTAGTGTGTCTACTCCACATCGCCCATACAGCTCACATGCTGTGCACAACATATCTATAATCTGGTTTAGGCCATGCCTACTCCCTGTTCAAATATAGATACAAATATTAAACAAATACAGATCATGGCATTGTGTTATACCCCTAATATCTATGTATGTGTACATAATGTATATACCTTATGTGTAAGTGTATGCATATGTATATGTGAAGGGATCCAGTGAGCAACATCATCACAGGGTCAGGTTTCGGGGTACCAGTGCTGGAAGGTTGTGTAGTTGAATTGAATATAGATTATAGTTCTTACAGATTACTTCATAGTTTGTATTTGACCTATGTATTATCAGATCACAGTATGTGATTTGAGACACGGCTATAAAAAAAAATATGATTCTGCAACAAAAATAGCCAGACTTCAAGATAAATTACTCATAAATGATTTAAATGACAAACTTTACACATCCCATATAACATCATGCATATAGTTACTTCATTACAACATTGCATCAGTCACTTGTAACACCACTCAAAAAACACTGTAAATTTACATCAGGAAAATTCAAATTAAACCAGCATTCACTGATTACTGTGTGATAGCTTGGAAAATATTATAATTAAAAATGATCATCTGATGTCCACTATGCACATACAGAGGAGTGCACATGGAATAATCACCCAGTTAAACATGCATTGTAACTGAATGATGATGCAAAGATCATAAATATCAAAGGTCATTTACATTTCATTTTTATCATGTCATAGTGACTATGATGACTATGGTAGTATATATGGTTACTGTGGTTTAACCTTAATTCTATGACTGAAAAAAGTTTTTTTTTTTTTTTTTTTTTTAACAAGCTATGCATCAATAATGCTTATTCATATATGAGAAAAAATATTTGTGTGTGTTTTCTGTCTCAGCTCTGCCACTTTTTTTCTCTGAAGCCACTCTGTAGCAATATGCAGTTGTGTTAAAGTTATACCACATGCCCATACTGTACTTTATAAGAAAGAGACAGTTTATAGTCCCATTGTTGTTTTGCTGTTTCTCACAAATGGCAATAATAACTTCATTTAAAGTAGCATTTTTGGCTGAGTCATGGTTGAAACTGGGCAGGATCATACAGTGCTTGCATCACAGAATGTAGATATATTGGCAACCCTGCTACTCTGAGTTCACACCAGGCACACTCTGTACATGCTTGTGATTTTCTGAGCCCATATTTCAGCACAAAGGTAAGTGAACTATGCACAAAGGTAAGTGGACTATGAATATGTTTCTGAATTTTCTTGTTCAGAGTAAACTAGGGTAACATTTAACTAGTTATTGTTTCTGTAGCTTTTTCAATGTTAGTAAATGCAGTTCTTACAGATTTGTATGATCCTCTGAATAGCAGGGCATGATCAGTCTTGTTCTGTTCCCTTTGCAACTTCACATGTACACTACATGTCTCAGCCTTCATATGTAGGTAAATGATTTACAACATTTTGGTTCTGGCAATTTAGGCTATCTTAATCTTTGTCAGAGTCAGTTGTGTAGATTTAAGTGTTCTTGCAGTTAAACTTAGTGCATCTGTAACTTTCTAAATATCTGGAAGATACTTTATAAAGGAAGCATTGCATCCCACCCCAACCACCCACCTCACCCCAGACCCCTGTTAGGCACATACAGTGCAGAGCTGTACAGCACTGATACAATTCAATTTATAAGAAACAAGTGCCAGATAACCACAATTAATCATGAGGGCTAGTGTAAATGGATTTTGGTTGGGGTTTTTTTATTGTTTTTTTAATTTATTATTGAAGATTAGAAAAATTGCTTAGCAAGTAAATTTGTCAATGATTTACTGAATGCAAGTAAATCATTCAGCTTCATTGGATTGTGTGTGTGTGGATATCTTATCTAAATAGGTAAAAGTGCAATATTTGTGTGACAACATGCAGTGCAGTGTGATCAGATCTGCCAAGTGCAGGATATATTGAGCCTCCAGGATCACAATGCAACTTACAAGACAATACGCTAATAATATACACTACATAAGCAACTACAGCTCACATTCCACTGTGAAATGGTGGAGTGGAGCTCATAATTGGCGCAATTTGTCGTTTTATTTTCATATATATTTGCATTCGATTTGCTTATGCAACAGTATTCCTAGTATTGAGCAGTTACACTGTAAAATTAACACATATAAACTTATTTATGCGACTGGTCAGAAGGTGTTGACTAATTTACTAACAGAGGACTTTGCTCTTTCCAGTTTCTCAGTAACATGACAAGCTGCTTTTTTGCCTTAACTTCAAGAAAGAAACAAAAGAGACTGATGAGGGAACGACTGTTTATTGCACTACATTAAACACCCATAAATAACCATGGATAAAATCTATGATGTGTTATTCTATATTGAATAAAAATTAAAATCATTGGCAAATGTTTTGTGGTTTAATACAGGCTGCTGGAGGAAAGCAATCAACTTTGGGGTGGTAACAATAACATCATACTACCACAGCACTGATTATTTTCCCACAACAGCACACCCTGAAGTGTTTTATTGTTGTTCCTCTTTCAGCTGCTCCTGTTAGGGGTCACCACAGTGGATCATTGGTCCATGTATTTGATTTGGCACAGTTTTTATGCTGGATGCCCTCACTGAAGCAACCCTGCCCAGTTTTATTTGAGCTTGGGACTGGCACTGAGAGCACACTGTTGCATGAAACCCCAGTGGCTGGGGTTGGTTCCGTGGCCGGGAATCGAACCCGGGCCGCAGCAGTGGGAGTGTTGTGGCCTAACCACTAGTCCTCCAGGGACCCCCTGGGGAGTTTTATACCTATGATAAAAATGCACTGAGCAATCAGTTGGCTTTTATGAATACAACCTTGCACTGGCATGCAGCATTTTACAGTTCATAATTAGTCACATTATCTTATCTAGTCATGTTATAAATAAGTCAGCAGTACTAATGTGAGGATCTTGTTAAATAATCCCTGTGAATTCTTTAAACACATGGGATTATGGTTTTGTTGGGCTAAATATATTTTATATTAAATAAATACAGCTGTATGATTTTAATTTTATGCTTTTGAGTATCACACAGAGGAAAAGAAAAAAACAGTGGACCACTGCATATTTGCACA